GCTTGGTCCAGTGGTTTTTGAGTTCTGTTAATCCCACAAATGAACATTACATTTTTATTTATATAGATGTTGGAGGGTGTTTTAGTCCTGCCGGCCTTGCAATTTGTTCCATAGATTGCTGCATCCACTTATAGGTTTTTTGCTCAAGCAACAGAACTTTTTCTTCCGTTTTCAAAATAGGTGAATTTATTTATTTTGTTGGTGTTAATTGCTCCAATCTTTAACAAAATCAGGATGAAAGAAGTAACTTCTCAGAACAAGAAATGTGTCTTTTTTAATAACCCTTTTACAACACCGGCACGTGACATCTTTGAGTTGCCGCAACCTTTCCACATACTGTACCTCTGTCCTTTTTATAGCCTTTATCAATGCTCACAGCCCACTCCAAGGGTGGAGAGCTGTTCTCATTCTTCCCGAATTACTCTCTTTCTTGAATGAATTGTATCTTGGAGAAGCTCCTCCGGTCTGAAGAATGACTCAGTCGTGGAGGAGAAAATATTAATGAGCCACACCAGTTGTATTATCAGTTCTGTTGTGGGAGACAGACAGAATGACCAGGAAACCAAAGAAAGAACGTTCCTCTCCAGAAATAGTGACCAAGTTATACTCTAAAAGACTGGGGAGGGGAAAGCTTCCAACACAGAAGAGTTTCCTGGCAACATGTTGTGTTTTTTTTCTGCCATACATACACAACTACTGGTTGCAATTGTCTGGCCTGTGCCACAGAAAAGCAGTTTTTTAAAAGCTTGCTCTGAATTAACTCGAGAATTACGACTTTCAAGAATAGTAGCAGCTGCCTCCTCATAAAATGGTTCGCTTCACAGAAAGCCTGCTGGACGACAACAACAGTAAAAGTGTACATGGGGAACTTTCCTCTTGTAAGAACTCAGTTCCAATGCTTAGCAACAGGCAGGCCAAAAAAACCCACTTTTGTTTATTCTACATGTAAGTTCCATATTGCTGAGCAGAATATATACATTTATTTTGCTATACACACATATATATCCATACATTACATGCACTCATATACACACATACACACACATATACACACACACTTTCTATCTCTTCTGTTTATTTTACATTTAAGTTCCATATTGCTGAGTAGAATACTTATATTTATATATCTATATGCACCCACACACACACATATATAGACACAAAGATATACACACATACAAATACACACATATACATATATATACACACATATATACAAATAAATACACACACACACCTGTTTATTCTACATTTAAATTCTATATTGCTGAGCAGAATACATATATTTATATATCTATATGCACGCCAACACACACATATATATAGACAAACATATATACACACATACATATATACGCATATACATATATACACACACATATACAAATACATAGACATAAACACACACGTATTTATTCTACATTTAAGTTCCATATTGCTGAGCAGAATACATATATTTATAAATCTATATGCGTGCCCACACACATATATAGACACACATATATACACACATACAAATATACACATATACATATATGCACACACATATACAAATACATACACATAAACACACACGTATTTATTCTACATTTAAGTTCCATATTGCTGAGCAGAATACATATATTTATTAATCTATATGCGCGCCCACACATATATATCGACAAACATATATACGCACAAATATACACATATACATATACAAATCCATACACACACACACACACCTGTTTATTCCATATTGCTGAGCAGAATACATATATATTTATATATCTATACTAGCTGGCCCCTGCCACACGTTGCTGTGGCCCACATGAGGGTTCTGTGTGGGAGGTTTGGCCCAATTCTATCGTTGGTGGGGTTCAGAATGCTCTGTGATTGTAGGTGAACTACACATCCCAGCAACTACAACTCCCAAATGTCAAGATTCTATTTTCCCCAAACTCCACCAGTGTTCACATTTAGGCATATTAAGTATTTGTGCCAAGTTTTGTCCAGATCCATCATTGTTTGAGTCCACAGTGATCTCTGGATGTAGGTGAACTACAACTCCAAAAGCAAAGGACACTGCCCATCAAACCCTTCCAGCATTTCCCGTTGGTCATGGGAGAACTGTGTGCCAAGTTTGGTTCATCGTTGGTGGAGTTCAGAATGCTCTTTGTTGGTGAACTATAAATCCCAGCAACTACAACTCCCAAATGACAAAATCCATTTTTTTGAGTGAAGGACATACATTGGGTTGTTAGGTATATTGTGTCCAAATTTGGTGTCAATTCGTCCAGTGGTTTTTGAGTTCTGTAATCACAATGAACATTACATTTTTATTTATAGATTGTCACTAGCATTATATGATAATAGCTGTTAATCACACAAATGAACATTACATTTTTATTTATACAGATAGATAGATAGACAGACAAACATGAAAACAATGTCAAAATATACAAACATGATATTGGTATTGACGGAAATTTGTGCCCGGGCAGTTCATGTGGAGTCAAGCTGCGTGTCTGGGTGCCGCCTTTAAGGCCAAAGGGAGAAGAAGGAGCCGAGACACGTGTCTGGGTGTTCCCACGCGCGTGTGCCTGTCTTTCTCGAGGGCTCCCTGCAGGTGGAGGAAGCGGAGGGAGGGAGGGAAGGAGAGCGGCCAACGGCGCGGCGGGGCGGGGACGGAAAGCCAAGCCAAGGAGGAAGGGCTTGCCTTGCCCTCTCTCTCTCTGTTTCAATCTCTCTCTCTCAATCTCTCTCTCGGCGGCGACGATGACGGACGCCTTGCTGCCTTCCTCGGGCCCCAGCGGAGGCTGCTACTTCCGAAAGGTGAGCCCTTCTTCCGCCTCACCTGGGCAGAAGGCAGCCACTCACCTGGCCTCTTTCTCTCGGACCTCGGGGGCGTCCGCGCGGGAGAACAGAAGCAGTTCTATTCCAGTTTGAGCTCCAGGCTAGGGCACCCCCCTGGTTAGAGTTTGGTGCCCGCACTCTTGGGCAGGGGAGGCTCTAGGGCTGTGCTTAAGTGGGATCTGTACGCAAGTCGGAACTTTGAGTCTAACTCCAGTCAGCCAGATAGATAGATAGTGAAACATAGAAAGGTAGCCAGCCAGATAGGTAGGTAGGTAAATAGATAAATGATAGGATAGATAGATAGATAAGTAGGTAGATAGATAGATGAGAGGTGAGGTAGGTAGGTAGGTAGATAGATAGATGAGGATAGGTAGGAAGGTAGTTAGGTAGATTAATAGATAGATGATAGGATGGATAGATAGATAGACAAGTAGGTAGATAGATGAGAGGTGAGATAGGCTGGTAAGTAGATAGATGAGGATAGGTAGGTAGGAAGGTAGGTAGGTAGATAGGAGGATAATAGGTAAATAGGTAGGTAGATGAGAGGATAGGTAGGTAGGTAGATGAGAGGATAAATAGGTAGATAGGTAGATAGATAGATAGATGAGAGTATAGGTAGGTAGGTAGGTAGGTAGGTAGATGAGAGGATAGGTAGGTAGGTAGATGAGAGGATAAATAGGTAGATAGGTAGGTAGGTAGATAGATAGATAGATAGATAGAGAGTAGGTAGGTAGGTAGTAGATGGGAGATAAGGTAGGTAGGTAGATAGATAGATAGATAGATATAGATAGATAAGGTAGGTAGGTAGATTAGATAGGTAGGTAGGACTGAAGGAAGGAAGGTAGGTAGGTAGATAGATTAGGTAGGTAGGTAGGTAGGAAGGATAGGCAGATATAGATAGATAGATAGATAGATAGATAGATAGATGAGAGGGATAGATAGGTAGGAAGGTAGATAGATAGATAGATGAGAGGATAGTAGGTAGGTAGGTAGATGAGAGGATAAATAGATAGATAGATAGAGGATATAGTAAATAGGTAGGTAGATGAGAGGATAGGTAGGTAGGTAGAGGAAGTAGTAGATGAGAGATAAATAGGTAGGTAGGTAGGTAGGTAGATAAATAGATAGATAGATAGATAGATAGATAGATAGATGGATGAGAGGATAGGTAGGTAGGTAGATGATAGGATAAATAGGTAAATAGGTAGGTAGATGAGAGGGATAGGTTGGTAGGAAAGTAGATATATGAGAGTATAGATAGGTAGGTAGGTAGGTTGGTAATTGGATAAAGAGGTATGCATGTATATATGTTGAGTTTGTTTGTAAATTGAAACTTGAAATGTAACTCCAGCCATATATATACACACGCGCGCGCACCCATATATATAGAGAGAGTTTGTAAGTCGGAACTTTAAGTGTAACTCCAGCCATATGTGTGTGTGTTGTGTTAAATTTTTTTGTAAGCAGGAAATGTAAGTGTAACTCCACCCCCCCACCCCCCACCCCGTCTGGGTGGCGCAGTGGGTTAAACTGCTGATCTGCTGAACTTGCTGAGCGAAAGGTCAGTGGTTCAAATCCAGGGAGCAGGGTGAGCTCCCTGTTAGCCCCAGCTCCTGCCAACCTAGCAGTTCAAAAACATGCAAGTGTGAGTAGATCAGTACATACTGCTTCAGCGGGAAGGTAACAGCACTCCATGCAGTCATGCTGGCCACATGACCCTGGAGATGTCTACGGACAACGCTGGCTCTTCAGTTTAGAAATGGAAATGAGCACCACCACCACCACCACCACCCCACACAGTCCGACACAACTAGGCTTAATGTCAAGGGGAAACTTTTACCCATGTTAAATTTGTATGTTAGTCGGAACTTTAAGTGTACCTTCTAGATAGATAGACCGATAGATAGATAATATTAGAGTAACTCCAGCACATATGCTGAATTTCTTTGTAAGTTGGAGCTTATATATGTTAGATTTGTTTGTAAGTTGGAACTTCCAGTGTAACTCCAGCCATATACATGTACTGTATATGTATATGTAGGATTTGCTTGTAAGCTGGAATGTTCAATGTAAGTCCAGCCACATATATATGTGTGTATATGTGTGTATGTATATGTATATGTTGGATTTGTTTGTAAATTGGAACTTTCAGTGTAACTCCAGCCACATATATATGTGTGTATTTGTGTGTATATATGTATATGTAGGATTTGTTTGTAAGTTGGAACTTTCAGTGTAATTCCAGCCACACACACACACATACACATATATAGAATGTGTATGGAAGTTGGAACTTTAAATGTAACTCCAGCCAAAGATAGATCTATCTTTTCCTACCAGCTGTTAGGAATTGTGGGAGTTGAAGTCCAAAACGCCTGGAGAGAGGAGGGCCCGAGTTGGCCCATGGCCGTCTTACACTGTGTCAATGTTGTTGCTCAAACAGTACCAGGGAACTCCTTGGGGCTTTGCTATATGTTTTGAGATATCTGTTTATCTGCGAGATAATCCCCGGAGCCTAGAGATTATCTCGCAGATGAACCAATACCTTCCCATATCTCGCGTCTAGACAGATCGGGGATTCCGTCTGTGAGATAAAAACTGAGACAAACCTCTGTGAGGTTTGAAAGTTGCTGGAGTCTGTAAGGGAAATTGCCCATTATTTGATACACATAGACTTATAGAGTTTCTGCTGCATTTCTTCCTTATTGGGGCTGCTGGGCCCTGTATAGAGAAATCCAATGGGTACAGCTTTTTCCTTGGGCATAATTGTGATCTTCCTCCTGTTCCTCGGCTGCCGAATACTGGAACCATTCATTGAAAGACAGCAGTGTCCGCATGTTTATTCAGAAGCAGCTTCCATTGTATTCAGAGAGAACTCACCTTCAAGTCAGTGTAGACAGGGCTGCATCCATAGATAAGCCTACATAAATCACACCAACAACTGGCTGCTGATGTTTACCATTTGGAAATAAAGAGGCTTAGCCAGGCAGCAGTTTAGGATTGCAGATTTAAAACTTTTTTCCCCTCCTAATACCTCCCAAAGTCATCCATTGTAAATGCCAGCGTGTATTTTGTGTGTGTGTGTTTCAGAATACCGAAACTCACTATACGTTCGGATTTATTAAATCCTATTATAAAGCAAGAAGGCTGCTATTACGGCAGACGAATGGGTAAAGCTTGATTGCATACTGTGGGTACTCATTTGGTGCATACCAGCGACTGGTACCTGGAAACAACTTATTAAATAAATTGGGAGGCAGGCATGCGGTATTTGCCCCATTCCCTCCAAGGGTGACAGTGAGGCATTGAGTCAGAAGTAGGCTTTTGTACTTCTCTGAGTGAGAATCTGACTTTTGAGAAGCAAAGAGATTTTTCCTTCTGCTGCAAATCTCTCGAGCAGAAGTTCCAGGAGAAAACTCTCAAAACATGCATATGCGGTTTCAAGACAAGTAGAGGTTTTCCATGTTAAGATGACTTGTGAGTAAGGATGGGTAAAGTGTGACCGCCCAGGTGTCATTGGACTGGAACCTCCAGCATTCCTGGCTATGGTGGTAATGGCGATGGGAACCATAGTCCTGAGCTTGGAATCATAGAATCATAGAATCAAAGAGTTGGAAGAGACCTCATGGGCCATCCAGTCCAACCCCCTGCCAAGAAGCAGGAATATTGCATTCAAATCACCCCTGACAGATGGCCATCCAACCCGTTTAAAAGCTTCCAAAGAAGGAGCCTCCACCACACTCGGGGCAGAGAGTTCCACTGCTGAACGGCTCTTACAGTCAGGAAGTTCTTCCTCATGTTCAGATGGAATCTCCTTTCTTGTAGTTTGAAGCCATTGTTCCGTGTCCTAGTCTCCAGTGAAGCAGAAAACAAGCTTGCTCCCTCCTCCCTGTGGCTTCCTCTCACATATTTATACATGGCTATCATATCTCCTCTCAGCCTTCTCTTCTTCAGGCTAAACATGCCCATCTCCTTAAGCCGCTCCTCATAGGGCTTGTTCTCCAGACCCTTGATCATTTTAGTCGCCCTCCTCTGGACACATTCCAGCTTGTCAATATCTCTCTTGAATTGTGGTGCCCAGAATTGGACACAATATTCCAGGTGTGGTCTAACCAGAGCAGAATAGAGGGGTAGCATTACTTCCCTAGATCTAGACACTATTCTCCTATTAATGCAGGCCAAAATCCCATTGGCTTTTTTTGCCGCCACATCACATTGTTGGCTCATGTTTAACAACTCCAGGTTTCGGCGGTGACCAGGGGAGCATTTGCACAGCTGCACCCATACCTATTTCTGATGGTCTTAGGAACCCTTTTGGCAGAGAAAACTGAAGATCTCTCTGCCTCTCCTTCTCTTCCTTTTTGGAAACAGAAGGTAAATCCTTCCACCAAAAGCCCTCCTCCGCTCTGATTGGCCTGCCTCTCAGCCGACCTCTCAACAAAGGGGAGGCTGTCTCTGAGACTCCCAAGTGGGAAGGGGAGAGCAAGTGTGCTTGGCACATGGCAGCGTGGTACAAATGTGCAGCCGAGGGAGAGCATGCGAGGCTGGAGGGAGGCTCGTGCCAAAGGGTCCCTTCAGGGCATGGGGTTTTTGTGTGGGTAGTTTGGCCCAATTCTAGCATTGGTGGGCTTCAGAATCCTCTGTGATTGTAGGTGAACTATAAATCCCAGTAACTACAACTCCCAAATATCAAGGTCTATTTTCCCCAAACTCCACCAGTGTTCCCATTTGAGCATATTGAGTATTTGTGCCAAGTTTGGTCCAGATATATATATGCAGACGGATTTTTATATATATTTGCAGACACAGGTAGAATAATATCACAGTCCATCACCATTTCAGAATACATATCAAATACTATTTTCTTAGTGTTCTTATCCTTGCCTATTCCACCCAGGCCCGTAGCCAGGATTTTGATTCGGGGGGGGGGGGGGGGCTGAGTTTGGTGGGGGGGGGCTGAGGATCTACCTTAGCAAACC